TTAAAGTTAATTCAGAAGACAAATTCAAGTGTGCAAAAACTAGGCCTTTCTTTCAACTGGCTTTTCTCTCTTTTACACCCCATGGCAATTTGACCATAGCTGTGGTGAGGTAGCCGTGATGAGGTGGCCGTGGTGATGTGGCTGGCCATGGCAAGTGGACCATGGCGAGTTGTCCCATTCCATCCTTGGCTTCCTCCTCCCTCCCCCGTGTGATTCTGGCAACCTGCAAACACTGTCAAGCACTACTTACGGGCAGTGGTGAAATCCACATTTTTTTACTACCGGTTCTATGGGTGTGGCTTGGTGGGTGTGGTGTGGCTTGGTGGGCGTGGCTTGGTGGGCGTGGCACAGGAAGGATACTGCAAAATCTCCATTCCCACCCCATTCCTGGGGGAAGGATATTGCAAAATCTCCATTCTCACCCCACTCTGGGGCCAGCCAGAGGTGGTATTTGCCGGTTCGCCAAACTACTCAAAATTTCCGCTACTGGTTCTCCAGAACCTGTCAGAACCTGCTGGATTTCACCCCTGCATACAGGATGTGTAATCACATTGATGAATCTATGGCAGAGGTGCAGAGGGGCGCAGGAAGTAACACTGTTTAATGTCAGGGTTCCAAGTAATACACCCATAGCAAACAGAACTCCAAGGCAAGCAGGTTCCTCAAAGAACAAGTTTTATTGGATATATCATATTGGCACAGACCGGTGAAAACCGACTCTCAAGGTTCCCACAGTTTTCACCTAATTGTGAAAGAGTTTTTCTCTCTTTCCCAAGCAATCAGTCACATGATCCAATCAAGGTGCTGTCCGGTTGCTAGGAAACTTCACTCCTCCTCTTTTCAGCCACCTGTGAGAAATGTCCTTGGTTCTCAGGGGAAGCTATTTTTTTTTTTGGCTACAAGACCCCAGCTATCTCTATTCTCCCTCCACCCTCCCTATCCCTCAGCACCATTGCGGCAACACTGAAGCATCCAAGATGGCCTCAGTCAAGCCGGCCTCTGAGTTGACATTTTGCTGAAAAAGAACGATGCAAATGGACATGATCATTAACCAACTTTTCTGATTTTTTTAAAATTATATATTGTATGACTGTGTAAGAAGTGTTTCTTTGAAATGTCCAGGCAGAATTGTTTATATAACAGAATTCAATTTGTCTTACAATTTCAATGTCCCATTGCTGGGAAATATTGTAAATAGCCAACTGACTTGCAAGGATGACTATTAAAAGACTCCTGAGGTATTTTTACAGATTTGTCAGATGATTTGTCATGTCCATTCCTCCCTGAATGATCCCAGCACTGAATAACAATCCGCTTATGTTATTACAAGTGTCACCTTTAACAGTTGGCTTTCATGGGAGACAGATAATGCTGAGCATTACACATCCCTACAGACGGAGGTGCTTGTTCACCAGCACTTAAACAACTTTCAACCAGTGGTGGGTCGCCCCCGGTTCGGACCGGTTCGCAAGAACCGGTAGTAAAATCGGCAGGAGGCTCCGCCCACCAACCCCAATGTCATCAGGACACTTCTGCGTATGTGCAGAAGTGCGCAAGCAAAGCAAAGTTCGAATCCCTAGTGTCGCATAATAGGGTGAGCTCCCGTTACTTGTCCCAGCTTCTGCCAACGTAGCAGTTCGAAAGCACGTAAAAAATGCAAGTGGAAAAATAGGGACCACCTTTGGTGGGAAGGTAACAGCGTTCCGTGCGCCTTTGGCGTTGAGTCATGTCGTCCACATGATCACGGAGATGTTTTCGGACAGCGCTGGCTCTTCGGCTTTGAAACAGAGATGAGCACCGCCCCCTAGAGTCGGGAACGACTAGCACATATGTGCGAAGGGAACCTTTACCTTTACCAGGTACAGGACGGTGTTCTTCAAGAGACAGAGCATTGTCTACAGATGAAGACCAGTCTTCTCAGTCAGCCAAAGCTGCATGTTTTCCAGTTCCCGCCATCTGGTCTGTCCCTTCCTGCCTCACCACCAACAGGAGGCCAAGGTCCAAATTCAAATGTATACAACAAGTTATTTTGTTTTGGAAGCTTCAACGCATGATGTTTGACAAAATATCTCGTAGAAGGCTTCTTTGCTGCCAAATCTGAAGCCTTTGTGGCCTTAAGAAAGTTTCTGGTTTGTCCAGGCTTTTGAGATGATCTGATTTATTTTTATCCTTCTTTTGAAGGCTGAGTACCCTACTCTCCTGCAGTTTCGCTTTTCTAAACATTCCCTCGAAATAAATTTCTTTTGTTTTTGTTTTTATGCCTGTTCACTGCTGCTTCAGAAAGGGCTTCAGAAGGGAAACTCTTGACTGCCATTTCTTAAAACAGAGGCCAAAGATTTTATACGATGTTCTATCCTAAACCAAAATGAAAAAAACAAAAAAATCTCTTAAGAGAAGAGGTTTCTGTACATTTCAAAGTTTATGTGGCCACCAGTGCAGTGGTGAAATCCTACCGGTTCGCACCGGTTTGGACAAACCGGTAGTGATAAAAGCTACTGGTTCGCCGAACTGGTAGTAAAAAAAAGAGCTACCAGTTGGTCCCAACCGGTATTTCCGACGATCAGCTGTGCCACGTGATTTATATTCGCTAGAAAGCAGGAAATCCTGCTTTTTAGCGAATCTAAATAGCGCAGCACAGATGTACCTCCCCTTGCTGTTCTACTTGCCTCAGAAAGCGTCCTTTTTCCACCTGAAGCACAAATTTGGTTCGCACTGCGAATGCGCAAATGCACTGCATGCATTTGGTGCATAATGTGCATGCAGTGTGCATTTGGCATGCACCGTGCATGCACGGACAGCAAACCAGTGGCAATCCACGGAGGATTTCACCACTGCACCAGTGCCTTGTCTGAAATATCAAAAGAAGATGATTGACAACAATTAGGTGATTTGGGGTGAAAAGTCAGAGGAGCCAAAAGCTGGATTTGCAAACAAATATTAACCAATCATACTTAGCCTACTTTCTCAGGAATATTAGCTAGACTAGACGTTTTCAAGTGTTGTCTTGAAGAGTGTGTGACTTGTGACTTATATGTATCTAGAGATGATGGGGGGGGTTAAACATTTAGAACAATGTTTTAGAATTTCATGAGGGCTGGGGAATTCTGGGAATTAAAGTCCACATGTCTTCAAGTTGCCAAGGTTGAGGAGCACTGGATTAGAGAGTGTCTAACGCCTCACGACTTCATGAGAAATGTCCGTTCATCATTTTCATGTTATTGTGGTTAAGAACCAGAGGTGGGCTGCTGGGGGTTCGCAGGGGTTCGGGAGAACCTCTAGCTAAGATTCTGTGCAGTTCGGAGAACCCCCAAATCCCACTCCTGGATGGCTCCACCCACCCCACCCCTCCCAGGAGTCCCCACGCGGCCTGTTTTGGATGCAGGTAAGCATGCGGAGGCTTGGGGAGGGTAAAAAACGGGCCTACTGGAAGTTTGGGAAGGCTGGAAATGGCCCTCCGGAGCCTGGGGAGGCCATTTTCGCCTTCCTGGAGGCTCAAGGAAAGCTTCCGGAGTCCGGGGAGGGCAAAAACGCCTTCCCCCCTCCACCGTGGTGCAGGAGGCCGACTAGGCCATGCCCACCATGGCCACGCCCACCCAGCAACCGGGCAGGGAACCCCTTGCTAAAATTTTTGAACCCCACGCCTGTTAGGAACAGATGCCCAAGACCATGTGTCTGGCAGAGAGGTTTGCTCATTATTGTTTTTTTGTATTTATTTCAGAGCTGTTCTTCAGAACAGCTATTTCTCCTAGAAAACAGTGGAAGCCCTTTAGTCGTCATTTCACTGCAGCTTATCTCAGCCAAAAGAAAAGACAAGAACAATGGCAATTGCAGAGCCTCCTCCGTGAGGTAGAGATACATCCATGTTGGGTTTTTAAAAAAAGTTAAGCTGGTAACCACCACTATAAGAATGCAGCTGCCATTTGAAGTTGTTGACACACAGACACATTGATTAGTTTTTTTTCCATTCTCCTCCTGACCACTCTGCTCATAAACATTTTTGTAAAAATGTAAAAAAAAAAAAAAAAGGAATTTGTGTTTTTTTTCCCTCTGGACACGCAAAATCCATTATTATATTCAGGCTTCCTCAAGTAGCTGCCGTCTTCATCCTCACTTTTGGGCAGGCCTGGCTAAGCAGAAGTTACCTTAGACTGCAACTTAGATCATTGCTGTTATTGTTGCAAGAGGAAAATGATCTAACTTTCTGATGGATTATATTTCTTGAAAGATCAAGGAACTGGAGCAGTAGTGGTTTGCTCCCGGCTCTGTCCGGTTCTTTAGAACCGGTTGTAAAAGCGGAGGGAGGCTCCGCCCACCCACCCGGACGTCATAATTGACGATCTGCGCATGTGCAGAAGCGTGCGCGTGCACTCCCGTTGCAAACCGGTAGTAAAGGTAAGTAGAACCCACCCCTGAACTGAGGGAATGTAAAGGATTATGCAGCAATAGGATGGAGGGATGAAGGGATAGATAGAGGGATGGAGGGAGAGAAGGAAAGATTAACATATAGTAGTTGCCTTCGTACTTATGGTAGATATATATATATATATTTGCTTTAATTTATATGCCGCCCTTCTCCGGAGACTCAGGGCGGTTTACAATGTGAAGATAAACTCTTCTTGCATACTTAGTCTTTCTAAATCAGTGTTTCCCAACTTCATCAACTTTAAAATATGTGGGACTTAAGCTCCCAAAATTCTCCAACCAGCATCTTGACTGGGGAATTCTGGGAGCTGAAGTCCACACCTCTTACGTTGAAAAACATTGACATGGATAACCTCTGTTCTAAATAAGGATACCTATAACATGCAATCCTATAAGTTCTTTTCTGAGGGCAAGCCACACTCAATACAATAATGTTTATTTCTAAGTGGAGTTCTAGGTTTATTATATACAGCGTTGGAATGGAAGCAAATTTCAAAAACAAGTCAGAATGGCAGATGCCACCGTGCAATGCACATTTAAGAAGGTTTTAATCATGTGTTTTAGCCTCCAGCCCCTAATCATTTTTGTTACTCATCTCTGCGCTATTTCCAGAGTCTCGACATCTTTTTTTACATTGTGGTGACCAAAACTGGATGTGGTATTCTTACCAAGGCCTTATAAAGCAGTAGTAGCACTTCATGTCATGTTGGTTCTATCCTTCTTTTAATACAGCCAATGATTGGTTGGGTTTTTTGGTTCCTCTTCCTCCTTCTCCTCCTCCTCTTCCTCTTCCTCCTCCTCATCCCTAGACAGTCACATGAAAACAAAGTAATTGATGCAAATAGGGTTGCCAGGTCTGCTTCCAAAAAATAGTGGACAAGCGGGGGGAGGGGGGGTTAAGTAGTAAAAAAATAAAAAAAAATTTACAATTAAATTATATATTTTCTTACAAACATTTTAACACGTATTAAAATAATCACTTCAAAACTTTACTTAAAATTCAAAACATCAAATATATTATAATAATATGTAAAATATTAAATTACATTTTAATTTCATCATAAGGCTTTTGAATAAAAAAAATGTGAAAAAAAATAGTGAATATAATGTGAAAAAAGCGGACTGTCCGCTCAAATAGTGGACACCTGGCAACCTTACGAGTGTGAAGCAGTGGGGAAATACCAGCCAGAGATTATATTTGCTGGTTCTCCAAACTACTCAAAATTTCCGCTACCGGAAGCATTTCACATACTGTGAACAGAAGCAAAGTGTTATGTGAATAGCCAGTGGTGGGATTCAAACAATTTAACAACCGGTTCGCTGCCCTAATGACTGGCTGGGTGGGTGTGGCCATGGTGGGTGTGGCCAGGAGGTGTGACAAACAGCACTTGGCCTCCTGTACCCCCTTGGGAGCAAAAGCAGGCCAGTGGGGGGGGACACACCCCTGCGCCCCGTTTTGGGCCTAGTAGGCCTCTCTGCACTTACCTGGGAGCCAAAATGGGGCGCGTGGGGACTCCTGGAAGGGGAGGGGAGAGGTGGGGCGGGGCCAGCCAGCAATTTAACTACTGGTTCGCCCAAACCAACCCGAACCGGCTGAATCCCACCACTGTGAATAGCCAAGACAAGGAGTCCTCCCATTCATGAACAATTCTGGTCAATCTTACCTCCGTTCAGTTTTTGGGCTACTGATCAAGAGCTGCAAACTCATCCGCAGAGATTCTCCCCTTTCAGAACTTCAGGAGACAGAAGGAGGAGTGAACAAGAAGCTTTTCCTGTGTTTACTGGTTTTTTAATGTTGTATCCTGTCCTGAGTCGCCTCTAGACAAGGTGGGAGGCACACAAATCTAACAAACAAACGAAATATTCAGAGTAAAAGTCATGCAAAGGTAAGGAAGAGAGAAAGTGAGCCTTATTTTAGCTAAATTAAAATGTGGTGTAAAACAGAAACCACTGCTAATTAAGTCATGGAAAATGAAAACAAGAAAGGGAAACCTTATAAGTTTTTTTTTTTTTTTGCTGAGAAAAGAAAAGATTGAACTGATAATTTCTGGATCTAGTAATTTAAAAAGGAGAAAAGAGGAAAAAGAATACAATGATACTTACTTGACAGGAAAAAAGAGTGGAAATATTAGATATTGTTTCCACTTTTCTTTTTCTTACTTTCTATCATTTTTGTATACTTTATTGAAAATACACCCAAGCACTCTCTCTCTCTCTCTCTCTCTCTCTCTCTCTCTATCTATCTATCTATCATCTATGTACTTATGTACATGTGTGTGTGTGTGTACATATGTACATATATACGTAAGTACATAGATGATAGAGAGAGAGAGAGAGATATGATAAAGAGAGAGATGATAAATATAGATAGATGATTATATAGATAGATGATTATATAGAGAGACAGAGAGACAGAGAGAGAGACAGAGAGAAACAGAGACAGACAGAGACAAACACAGAGACACAGAGAGAGAGAGAGGGAGACAGAGACAGAGACAGATGGGTAGATGATAGATAGAAAGAGAGAAAGAAAGAAAGAAAACAGAGAGAACATTTGATCGAACATAATGTGTATCAGATACACACTTGAACACAGCTTGAGGTACCCAACGTTGCATCATTATAAGCAGCTATTGTAGTCCAACAATTACTACCTTTACAAGCAGTGAAATCTTCTCAATCCTGAAATTGCCATATTGCCATAATTCTCTCGGGGATAAGCTGCTATTAATAAGCTTCCAACCCAGGTTATTTCACTTCTTCTCTACAGCTTTCCACCCACCCCACTCTTTAGCCAGCTTAACAGTTGCACTTTCTACATTTTTTCAGAGGCCTGAAAGCTCTTGAATGCTATCATTGTCCCAGTAAGCGTATTATAACTGGTACCAGCCGCAGCTCGTCTTCTGCAAGCCGCTTTGGTACCTTGAAATGACAAGGCACAGAGGCCTTTGTAAATTGTATGTGACAGCTCTCCAAGAGCTGTAATCAAGCGTCTTTCCCTCTTCCTTTATACCTTCCTTGCTAAGCTCCTTTGTGGTATGAAGCGACTTTGGGCAGAGAGGTGGCCTACATAGGCACGTGTGATGACTCAGCATAGTGAGTTGCAAATGTCCGGATCTGATCTTTTGGAGAATAGAATAGAGAATAACAGAGTTGGAAGGGACCTTGGAGGTCTTCTAGTCCAACCCCCTGCTTAGGCAGGAAACCCTACACCACTTCAGACAAATGGTTATCCATCATCTTCTTAGAAACTTCCAGTGTTGGAGCATTCACAACTTCTGGAGGCAAATTGTTCCACCGGTTAATCGTTCTAATTGTCAGGCAGTTTCTCCTTAGTTCTAAATTGCTTCTCTCCTTGATTAGTTTCCACCCATTGCTTCTTGTCCTACCCTCAGGTGCTTTGGAGAATAGCTTGACTCCCTCTTCTTTGTGGCAGCCCCTGAGTAACTTGACATACTCATTTGTTTTTGGAGGCACCAGTCTACCACCAAACTGCCTTTTACCACTGATCAGCTGTAGGGCGGCCCTTTGAAGCCCCACGGCAAGAGTTTAAACAGTTTTTTTCCTTCTAGACGATCAGCTGGGACTCAGGAGGCAGCAATAGATTGGGGGTGGGGCCAAATAAAAGGTAAGAATAATGCGGGGGGGCGGGGAGCAGAACTGGTTCGGTGACGTCATATCGTCACCGCTACCGGCTCGGCCGAGCCGGGAGGAACCCACCACAGCTTGGAATGGTCACTAAACGAACTGTTGTAAGTCGAGAACTACCTGTAACTTCGCTTCCATATGATATGTTGGGTGAAAGCTGAAGAGATCTTCAAAGGGACGTTCCCTCCAAAGTTCCCTGCTCCACACAGCCCAGTTCAAGCTCCCCAAAGCTTGCACCACAATACAAAAAAATGCAAAAGTACCAAAAAAATTCAAAAAATTGAAACATAAAATACAAATGAGATGGACATGACCTTGTAGATGACCCTCATTCAGTCAAGGACCTTGGAGTAGTCATATCAAATGATCTAAGTGCCAAAGCCCATTGTGACAACATTGCCAAAAAGGCATTAAGAGTTGTTAACCTAATCTTGCATAGCTTCTTCTCTGGTAATATTGTACTGCAAACTAGGGCATACAAAACCTTTGCTAGACCAATTCTCGAATCCAGCTCATCTGTCTGGAACCCGCACTGCATATCGGACATTAATACAATTGAAAGAGTCCAGAGGTATTTTACGAGAAGAGTCCTCCATTCCTCTACCCGCAATAAAATACCTTATGCCACCAGACTTCAAATTTTGGGCTTAGACAATTTAGAACTATGCCAACTTCTGTCTGACCTAAGTGTAGTACATAAAATCATCTGCCACAATGTCCTACCTGTCAGTGACTACTTCAGCTTCAACCGCAACAATACACGAGCAAATAATAGACACAAACTCAAAGTAAACCGCTCCAAACTCAATTGCAGAAAATACGACTTCAGCAACAGAGTGGCCGATGCCTGGAATGCACTACCTGACTCTGTGGTTTCTTCCCCAAACCCCCAAAACTTTAACCTTAAACTGTCTACTGTGGACCTCACCCCATTCCTAAAAGGTCTGTAAGGGGCGTGCATAAGCGCACCAGCGGTGCCTACCGTCCCTGTCCTAATATTCCTTTTTACTCTTGCTCTTTTCATGTATTCAAATTATGTTTATACTTTTACCTGTTATCTTATATATGCTTGAAAAATAAATAAATAAATAAATAAATAAATAAATAAATAAATAAATAAAATAATTGTGTTCATGCTTGCAGTGCCACAAAACTCTCAGCGGCTTTAGCAGCTACCAACTCCCCTTGCGAGTTTCTCCGGCATGTCTGCAGCGGAAAAAGTCCAAACATCTCCTGGTCATAGCACAGCTGCCGTCTAGAACAGCCTTTGAATCCCTATCATGCCATGTGCTCTACGCAGGCCAGATATTCTCCTTTTTTGCAGCATTGTGCAGCGTGTGTTTTGTCTGCCCAGGGAGGTTGCCCTGCCAGGGCCCTTTCTGTACCAGTCTAGGGCAGCTGTTCCAAAGCCAGCGATTCTTCCCTCTTTGGCTACCCCTTTTTGACGCTGCCAGGCGAGCTCCGGTTTCAGCGAAGAATTTGATGGTCGCCTGGTAAGTGTATAACTCACAATAGAAGCTTTGTTCCCCCCAAAAAAACACTTCAAACCTTCTAACCTTCCTTCAAGGGCTGCAGCTTACTGGTTTTCAATTAATGACGCCGAAGTTGTTACTATAAATCATACAAATTCTAGTAAGATCCTATTCTTTGGGGAGGTTAGGATTCTCTGCCAGATATGTGAGTTTGTTTCTGAAATCCCGAAGGCCTTGATTTTAGCATGTTCTGGCATTTAAAAGGTGTGGATGAGAAACAAAACAAGACTTCTCAACAAACAGCTCCCTGTGGGTTTTTTTTAATGAGTATTTTAAGAGGTTCCTAGTCTCAAGGTCACGGAATTACAATCCCGTTACATTTGATTTCTAATCTGAAGGTCCGTACTAATTATAGAACGCGTGGGGTTTGGTTTGGTATGATTTTGCCCTTTCGCCAAAGGCCGTGTTTAGTGTGACAGAACAACAGCGCTTAAAAATGGAGAAAGGCTTAATTGTGTGTCCTCTGCATTTTGTTCATTCTGTGATACAAACACAGATGCAGCGTTCTCTGGTCCAAGTAACCTGCCAGCCATTCTTTCTTCGTAGCTTAAACGCTTCTGAAAAAGAAATTAAAGAAAATTAAAGAATGCTCAAATTTCCATTCAGTCAGGAATGGGATTCTACCGGTTCGGACCGGTTCGGTAGCTCCGATGATCAGCTGGGAGCGAACTGGTTCATCCCGCCAATCAGCTGGGCCTACCTGCCCGCCCGCGCTATTTTCCTACCTTTATCTTCTCAGCTGATTCGCGCGGCAGAGCGATTCGTGTTCTGCTGCGCCTCAGCTGTGTCTCTCCTCCAGAGAAACGCGGAAGTGAAGATTTCTTCAAAATGCGCACACGATCAACGAACCGGTTGTTAAACCGGGAGGATCCCACTACTGCATTCAGTATAACACAGCTCACGCTAAGGTTACCTGGGAATTACTCTTCGTTGATAAGAGTAGGACAAACAACTGTGTTAATCACTGTCGTTAGCCGATGTGAGATGTGAGTTGGGGTTGAAAATTATTGATGATAGCTTCACAACCACACAACCAGCATTGCTCCCTTTCAGTTGTCTTTCCTTCTCCATCTCTGGGCCAAATCCAACCACTTGCTCAGGAAATAACAGAGCCTGGACAAAGGATGTGTGTTGCCTCTTCCTCTTTCATTGCTTACATGGGTGGAAAGGGCAGAACATGTGCTAGGAGAAGGGAACCGGGCCATGTTAGCGGTGGGCCAGTATGCACATGCATGCATGCAGATCAACTCATGTGAGTGGCGTGCTGGTGGGCACACACTTGTGCAAGTTGCACGTGTGTGCCAGCTCGCTGCTCATGAGGCCCGGTTGTGAATAGACCACAACCCAGTAGTGGGCCGCAGCCCAGAATTTGGGGATCCTTGCTTTACAGCACTCTCTGAGTGGTTTACAGACCCAGTATATTGCCCCTAACAATCTGGGTCCTCATTTTACCAATGGAAAGTCAACCGTGAGCATGGTCAGAATCGAACTCCTGGCATTCTAACCACTGCAGCACCATAGCTCCTAATCTTTGAAGGGGTTGTTGGAAGAAATGTCCATCTGGGTTCAGTTCCAAGTGGAGAGAAAGACACTGGAAACATGGAGACTGCTTGGAAAGATGGTTTAATGGGACCATGGGTGTTTTGGGTCCTGGGCAAAATGAGCACATGGGTGAGAGAGAGAGAGAGAGAGATTTATACCCTCTCTTGGGCCCCGCCTTGGAACTTCCTGTGTAAGGGCAGGTATCCTGATTGGTGGTCAGACTCCCATGAGGCCATGCAGGGGTAATTTAGTAGGTTGCCTTGAATCCCAGGCTTGGTTGAATCTTGATGGGTGATGTAATCTTCCCAGGTGCCATGTGGTGAGATGGGTAGAGGGCTAATCCTATTATGTCCTGAGGGTGAAGGTCTTTTGTGTTGTAGATAAGCTGGCCCAGCCTTTCTGGGGCTATTAACAAAGGTGAGGGCTGCTTTCCAAGAGCATGTTTCTCTTTTTTTCATCCATGGAGGTATAATATTCTGTCTTTTTAATATTTCCTAGAATATTTCATTCTTGTAGGAGAGGGGTGGGTGCTAACTTTCTACAGGGTCTCACAGAAAAGAAGGTGTAGTTCTAGGGATAGGACAAGAGGCAGTGGTGGGTTTCACTTACCTTTGCTACTGGTTCGCTCGCGCAGAGCCTATTTGATGATGTCCGGGCGGGTGGGCAGAGCCTCCTGCCGCCGCTACTACTGGTTCGCCCGAACCGGTGCAAACCGGTGGCAATCCATCACTAACAAGAGGTTTAGTAAAGAGAAAACCAAATTCAAAGCAAGGAGGAATTTCCTGACAGTGGGAATTGTGAAGAAGGGAACAGTTTCTCTCCTGGCATCATGGAGGCTCCACACTGAAGGTTTTCAAGCAAAGGTTAGACAGCCATTTGTCCAGGATGATCTGATAATTCCTGCGCTAACCAGGGGGTTGGACTAGATGACCTCCAGACTTTCCAACTTTAGGATTGATTCCTGCTTCAGGCCTGCAAAGATCTTCCGTCCCCTTCAAGAAGAAATTGGGCATAAGATGCTCCAGCCTTGTGTTCAATTAAGCCTTTCTTATCCCATGAAGAAAAATTTACCTCACAAAAGTTGTAAAAGATGAAAGCACTTCTATCAATTAAAAGTAGTAGCAGCAAGCAACGAAAAAGTAAAAAACCGAAGACCTCAAATTAAACCTGGGCCTGTGCTTAAATGAGAGGAAATGCCTCCATTATTACGAACAATGCATGATTCTTTTTAAAAACAATGTAAAATAAATAAAACGGCTCTTTGAGTCCAGCTCAACTTCCACGAAAGCCAAGACTTCTAGCCACCTCATGGAATCGGACGAAGGCTGTTCGCCGAGAGACAAACACAACCGGAAATTAAGCAACTCGGTGAAACTAGAGGGAGGGGGCCAGAATTGCAATTTAGGAAAGCAGAGGTTAATTATATTGTTTTGACGCTTGGAGCCTGGCCAGG